ACTGGATCCTATTCACAGGATATATGAGAGGGAATTTTGAGCTAGGACTGAGAAGTGAAACAGAGTAAACCTGTCAACTACTGAGAGAGTTACTAGGCTTCAAAGATGTAATATCTTTAGCTTGTACAGTAAGTAATGGGGCATTTTTCTATGAAGAGATGGTATCAAATGGTAAGAGATCTCAATGAGAAACCAATACATTCACACCTACTCTATAATAACCAAAAGAGTCTAAAACTCTAAGAAACACTACTACTGAAGTCAATGGACTTCACGGAGTGTTATAACTGGGTCCAGGAATGTGTTAAGATTGTGGGAATAATTCTCAACACTAGAATGGCGATTGAATCCCTGTTACCAGAGCAACAAAGGATTGCCAACCGAGGGATTATCTATCAATGCAGTGGAATAGCTTCCTGCGAATTAGTAGGAAGTCCTCCAGAAAATATTTGTTGGTTGGATATGGAGTTATGAAGGTTTGAAGTCAGATGATCTAGAAAGATTGCAATTATGACTATCTCTACAGATACAGCCCGCAGATAAAACTGATCATTTCATCAATGACAGAGACAATTGGGGCCAACTCAGTTCAATATGAGAACTAGGCTATAAGTCTAAAGACTCTGATGATCGGATAATATCTATTAGGAATAGTAAGGTTCCTAGTTAGCTATATTATAATTACTGAAAAGAGTGTGGTGATTTTCAGGATCTCCAGGTGTTTGCATCTCTGAAGAATACTTAACACTGCAAGAGAGATACATAGTTGTACAATAGATAGATGTAGTTCACAAACACTCAGATGCGGAATATAAATATTAAAGTACCTCCTAGGCTTTTAGATATTATCAATCAACAGAGAAGAGACCTTAACAATATAATCTTATCTTCATGATTCTACTCTAGTTTACCTACTTTATTTTACTCTTAGTAGTCATAAACGAAATGAGTGCAATCTGAGTCTTTCTAGATAATTGCCATCTACAGAAATGAATATTAATTGGTCTAGACAACTCTGAAGTCTATCAGGTTGTCTCTGCCTAACAGAGATAATAGTTTTTAGAGTCTTCTAGTATTTGTCCTTTTTGAGAATACCCGACATTGTGACTTAACTTTGGAGAGGTATATAATTTGTACAAGAGATAGATGTAGTCCATGAATACTTTAACGTAGGATATAAATATCAAAGTATCTTTTAAGCTTTTAGACATCATCAAGCAACAGTGAAGAGATTTTAGCAATATAAAATTGTTTACACCATTCTATTCTACTGTATCTTACTCTTAGTAGTCATAAATGAAACGAGTAACTCTTGAGCCTTCCTAGACAAATCTCTATTTACAGAAGCGAATCACAATTGGCCTAGTCAACTCTGAGTCTAAACAGGTTATCTTTACCTAACAAGGAGGACAGCTTCAGTATTAGACTCTATTATATTACGTATGTACATAACTCTATCAGATTTGGTAGTTAAATTTAAAATTATACATTGACAAAATTAACCGTGATTCAATAATCGGTGGCAACCCGCCTCTCTTCATGACCCTGTACTCTCAACAGTACCTAAAAAAATTGCTCTAAGTTAACCAAGAAGAAACCATTCTGCTCAATTCTTTTTTTCAATAAACTATATCTTCTATTCTTTGCAGTCATGCCAAGAAACCTATTCCCTCTATACATCTCTCTGAGTTTCCTAGAAGGAGAATTCTCGGGTTATAAGAGCTTCAGATGCGATATCAGTAAGTTTCCCACAACCTTAATATCCCCTACACTACTGTTAGAAACACAATTGCAAAGAGACATTAAGAGAGCAAGGAGAATAAGGGTAGAGGAAAACATCCTAAAATTACCAAGTTACAAGATGATGCTATGGTGGAAGAAGCTCTTAAAAATCGCCATACTACCTATTTTGACATTGCTGAGCAAGTTGCTTCCAATGTTTCTAGTAGGAAAGTAAGAAGAAGACTTGAAAAAAAGTATCTTAGAAAGTAGATAGTACAAGAGAGAGTTCATTTAGATAAGAATCTAGCTCAAGAGAGGTTAGAATAGCCATTAGCTCATAGACATTGGACAAAGGAGATGTGGAGAAGGAAGGCAATGTGGGGGGATGAGGTAGCTGTAGAAAAGGGAGAAGGAAAGAGGAGAAAATGTGTTTTCAGATACTCATATGAGAAATGGAATAAGAATTGTATTAAACCTAAGGCTAGAAGAGAGGAGAGAGAGATTAGCCAGATGATGACTGGTTGTTTTTATAGTCAAACTCATGGTCTTTTTTTGCCTGTTTTTCCTGATCCTTCTTCTGTTAGTAGTGGAGTTACTTGGAAGTCAATTATTGATATTTATGATCATTATAACTTTCTAGGGATATGGGAGAATATCAGAGAAAAGGCTGAGGAAGAAGAGGTATTTTTTATCATTGACAATACTAAGACTCACTTGTCTTTTAGGAGATGGCTCAGAGGATAGGAAATTATACTAATGGAAATTCCTGCCTATACACCAGATTACAATCCAATTGAAAATATTTGATCTCTGGTGAAATGTAAGCTTCACAAGCACTACCCTGAGCTATATCTTATGAAGGATAATGTCAATGTGGTCAAGAAGGTAATAGTAGAGGCTATCACTTATTGTTGAGAACTTCTTGACCTAAAGGTTTTTGATACTTTAGCTGAATCAATGGTGAATAGAATAGAGGCAATTATTAAGGCTGATGGATGGTATACCAAATATTAATTTCTACTGTATGTGTATTTACATCTTTTAATTATAATTTTTAGTTTTCATGATAGTGGATTGGTAGGTGAGTGTAATTATCATCACCGAAGATTTTCCTCTATTGAATCGCAGTTAATTTTGTCCATATATAATACATGTACTAATAGCTTACAAGAAAATCATATCAGACTCGGAGTACCTGCAAGTATACTACTATTCTTATAGTGACACTTAGCAAGCAGGCTTTCTCATTACTTTACTTTATTTTAGTACCAAATGTAGAAATACATTCATTACAATCATGATGGTAATACAGTCTCAAAATATTCATAACTTTACATAAAATATCCTATTACTTTCTAGACACTTTCAATAATCTTAAACAAAATACCTTATAACTCCATATCCTCTTAACTGAGTTCCTCCAAACCACATCTCAGATGTCATCAAAGGTCCTCTCATAGGTTCTGCAAACAACTTCTAGTTAGTCAGAGGATAACAATGTATACAATGTTATAAAGTAGGTGCAAATTCCTTGCATTTTAGTATTAGGACATATATGACCAAAGTGCAACTGTAATATAACATTTAGACCTTGTAACAGATCTGGAGTAAGGTGTTGGAAGTGGATTTTCTCTGCTCACAATAAATTGACATCTGTGCATACACTTGAGAAGGTCTGTATGCCTCTAGGTTCAGGTGTACTACCTAACAGTTATCATACCAGGTTCCATTCTCAGTACGGCATGTACTATCAACAGCAATAAATACTTAAAGTTGCATTACCAACTCACCACGTTTAACTTAGTATTTTGTTACAGGCGTGCCCCCAATCCGCAAGAAGAAGCTCGAACTTGAAGAGGCATCTCGACTCCAACGGTACAGGATTGGCGGCCCCCGAATTGCGAGCTGTCTCGGACAACCCTCCCGAAGGTACTCTTATGCCGTTTATCATGTCAATTCAACGATCAACATTGCACAGAGGTTGCAACGCCACGATTGCCTATCTCCGCAGCGCCTAGTAAGAATGGAGAGGTGGATGGCGGGTGGTTCAAGTTCAAGGTAGTAAATGTGCCGTGATGTGGACACCTGATAGGAAGATGGACTCCAAGTTTTGCAAATATACTAAAACAACGGTATACGGTATACAAACTAAGATGGACGAAGGATCAGAGGATAGATTTAAATATCGTTAAGACAGTGGCTTCACTTGGTAAGTTCTTGAGGATAGCTGATTACCGGAGTACTCATGAGAGAGAGCACTTATAGATAACTAGATAAATACAAGAACTTAGCACATATCAAATACTGCCGGTTGTTCTCTAGACAATGCTTGAACACTGCACAATCATGGTGTAGAATGCCTAGATACATACACCTCACTCGAAGACACTTGATACTAATTGACCCAATTACATTGATCTCATAGGATTACTGTAGGCGCCGCTGGGGGGGGAGTGCCAGGTGCCCTAGTTCACATTGTGAAAGTTGGTCGCCGGAGAGATATGTCTATCTTCCTGGGATTAAGCTTAGAGTTGTGTACGAAATTAAAACCACAGAACATCTCAGCATAATTAGACTATAGTACGAGTGCACTCCTCCTACTCGTACAATCCGATTCATAAAGCACTCGTACCGGTACCTGTATCCGGACACCTTGGCGCCAAGACCTTTTTTTCTGCTTCAGGCGAATCGTCAAGCTGGACTCTTGTACAAAACTACTCACGAAACTTATTTCCACCATGCTTCTCTATACATTTCAACATCGCCTGAAGTAGCTCTGCTGTGAGCTTCTGGTAGAGGCATTCCTTTTGATTTCCGTTTGCTGTGTATAGACTCTGAAGTGTTTGCCAGAAGAACAGTGACTTTAGGGTATCTCCAGATTCCTTGGCACTGGTCTAAACATTGGCGCCAAGGTGTCCGGATATCATACCGGAACTTTATGAATCTTCAAGTACGAGTATCATAGTCTACCATATATACTGTACATGAGACTATACCGGTAACTTAGGTGTGTACAGCACAATAATACCCTAATGCCTTTTCGCAACTGACCAGTGCAGAATCTGAGCAGCAACAACCCCATCCATCAGTCGGTTTTTGGCGAATTCATAGGGGCGAACGATGGATACAAGGGAATGACAAATTTACTATCTAAATATAAATCACGCCCGAATATAATCACCCACCGGAAATGGCGGTTGCACCCGATTCATAGCAATTGCTCTTGTAGCATCAGAAATAATCGACAGTCGGGAAAATCACGGGAACTGTCCCTGCCATACCGTCTAATTCAAAGCTTCTTTGGTTACATCTCTCTATGATTAGTGCCTACCCATCAGGTGCTCGCGGTGCTTTAACGGGTGGAAGGAAAAAAGAGGAGTCATATGCAACATCCATAAAGTAAGAAGGAAATCCCCTATTTCGAACCCTCAACTATCTGCCGTTTTGCCCCAAATGCCAACCGGTATCTCTTCGCTACCTTAGCCATACCCTCCTAAAGACAGTACCCCATTCCTGGCAATCTATCAAACAAACCGAATTAGAGAAGCTCAATAAAATCCGGATCCCTCTCCTCTTTTACGAAGTCTGCATCAAGTCGCCAATATTAGCCATGGCTTGGGCCGCGAAGAATCTAACATCAACATCGCTATCCGCCTGGAGCTTCTCCAGATTCGGTACAATCTGCTTCTGGATCAATTCCAACCCCAGATCACTTGGGCCAGCGGCGCTATCGGGCTTTACATTAGCCAAAGTTCCCTCAGCAGGAAGCTTTCGGAGAACATCGATAAGAACGCCGTAGGATTTGGCGACATTGAAGCGGATGTTGGGGATGGGATCGCGGATTAGTTTGTGGATCATTGGGAGGATGAATTCTTCAATAGCAGCAACGTTCACCGCAGGAGCCAATGTCTGTGAGAATATATGGTTAACGATTTCCCAAGGGGCTAATTGATACAAGAGAACATACTGTAATTGCTGCGCATGTGGTCATGCGATACAGATAGTTGCGCTGGTCGCCCATTGCCATAACCTTGGGAATAATGGTCTGTCGGGCCCACTCAACGCCGAATACGTCTGTCAATTGTTTGAGATTTAGAGTTGCGGCTTGGCGGATTGAGAAAACTGTATCTCCCAGCCAGCTCATGCACAGATTTCCAAGCTTCTCGTCGAAAAACTCAACGCCAAGTTGCTTAGCCAGGAGTGGAATGTACTCGATAATTGCAAGCCGGACACGCCATTGCTTATCCTCTGCCAGCTGAACAATCGCGGGAAGTAGAGACTGGGAGAGTAATTCGATTCCGATAACTAACAAGAGTCAGTGGAAGCCCCGTTATTTGGTTGACATGAATTTACCATCATTCACTTGCTCGAGCTTTGAGATGATGTGTAGACGGACATCCGGGAACTCGTCCTTGAGCATCTGTAAGAACATGGGTAGAAGATGCGAGATAGTTCTGGTAGGGACGTTAGTGAGCGATCAAACCCGAGATTTCTCAACTCACTCATCCTTCCCAAGTATTGGTGCCAATCCGCTGATCTGGGTCCCAAGGGCGGCTCTCACGTGCTGGGATGTATCGGTGACCAAATCTTCAACCGGGCTCATAATTTCATCAAGAAGGATTTGACGGTCGAGAAGTTTGCAGAAACCTTTTAAAAATTGTTACCCACCAGTTGGAAGGACGCAATTTGAAAATGTAAAACCTACCGGGAATCTGGCCGGCAATCGCCGTCCGTACTTCTGCCTCACTATCCTTCAAAAGCTTCACGAAAGCTGGGACTAGATCCCGTCGAACGACATCGCTCTCAACAGCTTTTGCAATCTTCGCATGCCGCTCAGCACCCGCCCCATTACCTCGCATCTAGAGTCAGAAGATTCCGCTCACCTTCTCAAATTTATCTGCAACCATGTATCTGACCCTCCAGCTCTTATCCCCAAACAGGCTTCTTAGTATTGTCAAAATAACAACGTGACTGGCCTGTTGGTCTTTTGGGACAACCTCAGCGATGCTGATAAGGACCTCTACAGTTAATAACCTGACGCTATCCTGATCATCCTGCGCTAGATGTTGAAACAGGGGGATCATTTCCGAAACAACCAAATCAGCAGGCATCGTTTTGGCGAACTTTGCCAGGTTTGTCGCAGCCTGCCTCCGCACCATCGGTGTGTCGTCGTGGACAAGTTGCGCAAAATGTTGCCTCAAACCATCCTGAGAACGGGGCGTTGCTTTGGAGTATGGGACAGTATATAGGCCAGTTGCGGAAATTTTCGAAGTGAACCAATCCGCTTTGGACAGGCGAATAACAAGGGGAATAAAGTACTCCTCAACCTGATTTTGAGACAGTTCCTGGCATATTTTGTTAAGGGAATCGACTGCCTATAGTATACCACTGTTAGAATCAAAATCCCTGGGCATGCACCATTGCCAAGAAATCAATCGAGGCTGAAATAAAGATTGCTAGACCAACCTTTTCACGTACAAGGGGTTCTTCGATCGCAGCAAGATTCTCCAAAGGCGAAAGGAGCACGTGACCATGTTCCTGACCACCGACATATTCCACAAAACTCCCAAGTACTTCGCTAAGAGCGGTCAAGACCTCATCTTCGTCCTCCACGGATTCTATACCGGTCCGAAGCAAATCAGTCAGCAATATTCCTCGCCCTTCAAATGTAGTTGACTTCTAAAAACCGCGCGAAGAACCCGTATCAATGTTTATCACAAATGCGTACCGTCCAGAAATGGTATGAGCTCATCACGAGTCCTCTCAGGCCCCAGAGCAAGAGCAATAGTTGATAGGCGCTTAATTGCATTTAGTCGAAGAAGGACATCGTCATGCTATACTTCACATCAGCTACACAGACTCTATTCAACAATTCTGCATGGTAGGATGTAGGGCTGACTTTAAGCTCATCAATCAAGACAGCTATTGGGTAGAGTTCATCATTCGAAGGTTGGATATCCATTTCGAGAAGATGAGCGGGAAATTTATAATCTAGGGATAATTAATTATGATCTCGATAGAAGCTTGACAACTATGTGTTTATCAAACCTAAGGTTCGGGGGATGAATCAGGGCGAATAGTATAACTCGGGATTACTGTTGGTCAGGTCGTACTATATTCAAGCGCCCAAATATTTAGCTAGGGAGCCTCAAAAGAAGGCTATCGCGAACAAAAAGTGGGGTGGAGAGGTTCGAGGATAGAGTGAACCGGGGGGGGGGGCAGTAGTGAAAGTAGGCCCAGAAAGGGGAGGACAAACGCAGGTTTCAAGATAAGAACGAACAAACAAGGAAGGAAGGAGTGTAGTGCGAGGATGGCCGAGATGGTTTTATGCGACCGACAGCCAACAGGTGATTGAGAGTTAGTAGAAGAGGGGCAAGATTGGGGGGCTGGTAGGGCTGGCTGATTGATGGATTGAAGTTGTGAGAGGGGCGGCGGTTGAGTAGCAGAAAATGTGAAGGGAGAAAATGAGGATGGGTGGATAGAATGTGGTTGCTCTTGTATGATAGTGCTAGTGGGGGGAAGCGATGAGGGGCTCGAGTTAAAGTGTGCAAGTACTGTATTATACACAGCACGTATGATACAGGTAGGGGAAGGGTTGAATGGATGGATGTAAGGCTGGTACGTCTATTCCGAGTACGGATGTGACAGGGCGAAGAGATCGGTGGGATTTCAGGATGTGTTGGCCGCCCTCGCTCAGGCTTCTCTCTTGCTTGCCTACAGTACTCGTACAACCTAACCACAACAAAGCTTTTAGTATGATACAGTCGACCTCGTTGGGGAGGGAAAATGATTCTGGGTGTTGGGTGGCTATCCGATTGCATCAGCCCCCCGTGCATATTGCATACCTGTAAGTTACGCTTACCAAAGCCACACATGGTCAAGTGTGGCTATCAACTCCCCTCATTCAGTTGCTCGTCTACCCCTCCACCCCGCAATCGATTCATTCCAATTCTGATTGCAACGCTCGAGAGAGAAAGAAAAAATAAAAAATCCTATCGTACAGCAACACAGTAGAATCTCGGCTCGGATTGACTGACCTACCAAATCGATAATGCCGACTGTTTCTGTCAACAAATATGACCTTTACGAGGCGCTCGGCCAACAGTATACAACCGAGGAGTTCGACGATCTTTGCTTTGAATTCGGTATCCAATCCACTTATACTAACCTAGATATCTGATAACTAATAAAGAATTTTGTCCATAGGAATCGAACTAGACGAAGATGTACAATTTACATATTTTCCTAATCTATCCTGCTCGTTGATCTCCCTCGAAGTCTGCTAATTATCAATTAGACAGAGAACGATCCCGACAGACCTAAAGATCAGCCCCCTCAGCTGAAGATAGAGATTCCCGCGAATAGGTAGGATGGATGTTTGCGCCTTTGTTTGTCGTTTGTTCTTGAATACTGATAGCGTGGGTGAATGGTAGATATGACATGCTCTGCCATGAGGGAATTTCCTTGATGCTTAACATCTTTCGCGAGAAAGCATCTATTCCAAATTATCGTGTTGTTTCCCCCCCCAATGGTGAAGTTCACCAGATTATTGTTCATGAAGAGGTACTATATATGGTTCAATCGCTAAGCTTGTATTCCCACTAGCTGACCTCTCCATCAGACCACCAAAATCCGCCCATATGTGTCTGCTGCTGTGCTACGAGGCATCAAGTTTACCCAGGGCCGTTATGACTCCTTCATTGCCCTCCAGGACAAGCTCCACCAAAACCTATGCCGACAACGCACCTTAGTGTCTATGGGAACCCACGATCTAGATACCGTCAAGGGCCCATTTACATATGAGGCTCTTCCCCCAGAAGAGATCGTGTTTGCTCCCTTAAACAAGGAGGAGGTAATGAACGGTAAGCAGTTGATGGAATTCTATGAGGTATGTTGCCGTGGGTGATTTCCAAAGTGCGATGAATCATGTCTGACTGGCTTAGAACGATAAACACCTCGGAAGATACCTCTATATTATCAGAGATTCCCCTGCGTACCCAGTGATCCTTGATGCCAATAGAAGAGTGTGCTCGTTACCGCCAATCATCAACAGCAATCTCTCTAAGATTACATTGGACACAAGAAATATTTTCATTGAAGTTACTGCTACAGACCGGACCAAGGCTGAGATTGTCACCAATATTCTTGTGGCCATGTTCTCGCAATATTGTGACGTTTCTTTCACGTATTTCTCCCACTCTTCTGATACATCAATTGCTCACGAACTAATATCAAATTCTAGGGTTGAACCCGTCAAGATAATATCTCCTCACAATAATGAATCACGCCAAGTTCCAAACGTGGCTCCCCGTTCCACAACAGCAGAGGTATCCTACATCAACTCATGTTGCGGTCTTCAACTCTCACCTTCCGAGATCTGTACAATGCTCGACAAGATGGCGTACACCGCCAAACCCTCTAGCTCAGATCCCAATCTTCTGGATATCGATGTCCCGGTTACCCGGGCTGATGTCCTGCACCAATGCGATATCATGGAGGACGTAGCCATTGGTTACGGGTTTAATAACTTACCGAAAACCTTTCCAGGGAAGAGCGGAACAATCGCCGCCCCTTTGCCCATAAACAAGCTGAGTGATATTGTCCGTCTAGAGGCAGCCATGTGCGGATGGTCGGAGGTCCTACCTCTCATCCTGTGCTCGCACGACGAGAACTTCGCCTGGTTGAATAGGAAAGATGATGGCCACACTGCAGTTAGGCTCGCCAATCCCAAGACTGCAGAGTACCAGATTGTGCGTACCAGTTTGTTACCCGGTGTTTTGAAGACGATTCGTGAGAACAGGAAACACAGTTTGCCTATCAAAGTCTTTGAAGTGAGCGACGTGGCGTTCAAAGACGAGAAACTGGAGCGTAAGAGTCGCAATGAGAGGCACTTTTGTGCTGCTGTTTGTGGGAAAACTAGTGGCTTTGAGGCTGTTCATGGGCTGCTCGATAGGGTTATGGCTATGCTCGGCACTAAGGTATTAGACACAGGTGAAATGGAACAGGAAGGCTATTGGATCGAAGCGGCTGATGGTAAGCTGATGCCCCCCGGAAAGGTTGGTCGCAAAAGACAGTATAAGGACTAATACTACAATAGAGCCCACACATTTTCCCGGTAGAGCTGCATCCATCTTGGTTAGGCATAAGAACGGCAAAAGGCAGTCTATTGGGACCTTTGGGATGTGAGTGATAATACATGATTCCCACGTTAGAAGATAACCTTACTTACTTTTCTAGCTTGCACCCTTCCGTCCTGGAAAAGTTTGAGATACCCTATCCAGTATCCACCTTGGAGTTAAACCTTGAGGTTTTCTTGTAGGGGGGCCCCGACACTGGGAGTTCTGAAGGCGCTGGACATCAAACGCCGCAGTCTTCCTTACTTTCATTAGTTGCCTAGAAAGGCTACTTATCTCTAGTGATCAAATAAAAACCTATGGTAGTTGAACTAAATTCTCACCATGCCCATGAAAATGCTTCTATCTACATTCATCTACCCAACACAGAAAAACGCAAGATCTAAATACAACCGCGACCGAAATCGGCGTTGTAATGTTGTAGAATTCATTGAGGAGCGCAGAGAAACAGGTCTTAACATTGTGGTATCATATGATATATGATAGGCGGGTTACCAGTAATACCGGTAATTTACTCGAGTAGATAGATGAAATCCCTCTCATTCTTTTTTGGTATGACCATTTTGCTTAGTCATCTTCTTAGTCGCCTCGCTCTGCCTCTTCATCTCTGCTTCCGCGCCGATTCCACCAAACACGAGCCCAACTCCCAACCATTGCATGCTGGAGAGACTATGACCAAAGGCAACAACCGAAAAGATCATAGAAAGCATCTTTCTAGTCACAGTCACAGTGACAAGGACCAATGAGCCGAAGCTGGAGAGAGTGTGGACTATTTCACAATAAGCTTACCGACCAACCGAGAGTGTAGACAGTGTTGAAAACTTACAGATAAAGACCTGTCCCAACCCACCACAGACCGCAAAACCCATGATATCCATTCCAACCTTCGGATGCTCCTTCACGAACGCCAGCGCATCATTCAGCTCGGTGCTCCAGGGATTAAGCAACAAAAAACCAATCGTCAACACCGATGAAATCGTGTTCAACGCCGTCATCATCTGCGGTCCCGAGACAGCCCCCTTTGGCGTCCTGGAGAAGATGTCGTCCTGGATAGTGTTCGTCAAGCCGTCGAACAAAAGATTCACGCCTAGCAACAACATCCCGTAGAATTTCTTCTCTCCGTTCGAAGAAGCGCTCTTCTTGATCTTTTTCGGGTGCGCCGGGTACAATGTAAATACTGCCACACCCGCCGTGACGAGGAAGACCACGGCGTATTTATATAGCGGGTATCGGCGTCTGAAGATAGTTATGTGTAAGAACATCACCGGGAGGAGTTTGCATGATTTTGCCAAGATGTAGGTTATGTAGTCAATGTGTTGGAGAGAGGCGTAGCCGAAGGGGGAAGCGAGGGATTGGGTGAGTGCTACGAGCAAGAGACGGAGGGAGATAGAGAAATTGGGGAAGACGTGGGAGGGCTGGCCGGGGGAGGAAGAGTAAGAGAAGTAGGCATAACCAGTTAGAGCTGCGAAGAGAGATTGCACAGTGTTCAAAACAAGTGGGGAACGGAAGATCTTCTTGTCGGCGCCATAGGGGGTTGTGGTTATGCGTTCTTGGAGGAGGGCCCATGTTAAGCTACAGGAGTGTGCTATGAGCTGGAGTTCAAGGTGGGAGGGAGGGGGTTCATACAATGAAGCATAAATTCCACCAACGCAGATAATTAATTGGAAAATAGAGCTTCCATGATCCTTTGAGCTCTCAGCCTTGTGGGCAACAGATCCCGCGATGGCCACAATCGGGTCATTCGCATCCTCTGGTGGGGGATTCTTTCGGCGCGCCATGGCCAAAATTATCGTGTCGAGGCAGTAATGACAGAAAAAGGAGCTTTTCCTTAGAAAAAAAAGAAAAGGGAAGGACAAAAATAATGTGAAAGAGAGTCAAGGTTTAGACACCTCCAATATCGAAGCTATAACCTATGTGTTAGCTGATAGAAACAAAAATATAAGAAACGAAGGTAAAAGTAGAAAGGCGGGGGAGGAGCCATGAGGGTTAGAAAAATATTATTACCACTGAAGAAACCACCGTGTCTTTCAGGAACCGCGGACTCTCTCAGCTCAATTTACGGGATAATATCAAACGACATGTGACATGAACCTCAGGGTGATCCGGCTGAGTAATGCTCACAGCAGTATTTTAAGCCTCCACTGACTCAGCCCTCTACAAGTACAGTCGTGTAACAAAAGTCTTGGCACCCCCCCCCGACCAAGTGACTAGGCAAGAATTCTCTTAATTTACCACTTTGTATGTCCTCCTTCAGCCTGAATTACAGCCTCAATGCACTGAGGCATTGTTCTAACTAACTCATCAATCTTATCTTGCTCAATAGTATCCCATTCCTCGACACATGCAGCCCAAAGTTCATCTTCTGTATATGTCCTACTATCCAAAGTCCCCACCCTGAAAAACCGCTTCCGAAGCCTCCCCTTCCACATATTCCACACATTCTCAATGACATTTAAATTGGGGGATTATGGGGGCTAAGGAATAATCTGATATCCTGCTTCCTTCTCAAGTGCCTGATTCTCATCTCCCTTATGCCAGCCAGCATTATCACCAACCACTTGCACACTATGTAGAGATATCCCCGTAAGCTGGGCTACTGTTCTGCAAAATGGGATAAGATAGGAGCCGTGTATCTCTTCTGCAAATTGATGTGCATCTAGACCAAGGCAGTCTTTGGGGCGGCGTTGCTTCTCCTCAGTTCTTCGCCAGACTCGGACCAGTTGAGATTTGAAGCTGTATGCAACCGCAGCCCATACTGGAACAAGGGTACGACCATATTGAAAGGTTGGGCAAAGTAGTTTGGTGGAAAGAATTTGCTTGAGTAACTCACTCTGCCGGATCCGAACATAATCTCTAGCAGGGTACGGGTGTAAGACATAAGTTGTCTCATCATAAAAAACAACCCTCTTCCACCATTCTGGCTTTTGCTGATGTGCTCATGCAAAGTGAAGCCTCTTTTCAGGAGAGGTAGACTGGAGCCAGGGGTTTTTTCCTTGTTTGAAGAAGGATGAATGGGTCATCAGCCATATCTGCAACTCTTTTAACTGTCATATAGCTGACTTTGATAGGGAACTGAACAGCAAGCTCCTGTAGTGGCATTTGGGGATTTTCTTCAATGAGCTTCTCTATCTGTAACCAGGCATGCTGTGACATAGGTGGGCATCCAGAGCAATGAGCATCACCAATGTTCAGGTATCTCCGCTTGCTTGCCCTTTTAACAACATTGCGAACTTGTGATTTGGAGTGACTAGTCACATCAGCTAGTTGCTGATACCCCCAGTCTGGATGATGATGATGAAGAATAGAAATCTCCAGGTTCTTCTTCTCACGATCGCATTTCTGCTTTGAGCATGGCCTATGTGGTGGGGCCATTGTGGGTAGTTGGGGTAAAGTGATGGCACAAGAGCATGATAAAATTTTACCGGGGTGCCAAGACTTTTGTTACACGACTGTACCGGTAGGGGGAAGGGATGGTCCGCCTTCGAGAACGATCCTGAAGAATTTCTGTGTGGTGGTCTAAACCTGACTGTGATTTCATTGTTTTGATCTTGCCCTGTGCTTGCCATGAGTTCAAGGCTTGCTTCTCCACATGTTGCTTTGCTAAACCAAGGTTAGAGCGTCACTTACTCTGCAGTACTTGTACCGTGCAGTTTACAGTCCACGGCTTACAGCTTACCACACCACTTACATACAGCTGAGTGGGAAAAATATAGACATAAATAAAAACCGGGAGTTATGTCGCAGGATCTACTCGACGATTTCCTCTCCACACCCGTCAGACCGAGTCATGGTTCTACGCAGTTTGGGGCATCACCACCAGCAGCGGCAGGTGGGTTCGGCCAGGAACATCACCGCTCTAATACCAATACTACCTTTGATGACTTATTGGGATTGTTCGATGGTCAGACTGTTACTGCACAGAAACCGAAGCCGGCTCAGGTCTTAAGGTTGGCTCATCCCGGGCGGCCAGTTAGCTTTCATGGGAATACTACGACCAATCGGGCGGACCCGTTTGCAGCTTTTGGGAACATCACAGGTCGGTCGATAACGCCGTCATCGAGGCCGGCGAGTATAGCTGCGTTCGATGACTTCTTTGCTACGGTGCCGGTGTCTCAAGGAAATGGGGGTAGGATTGGGGCTACTCTTGTCGTTCAGCAGCAGGAGGAAGAAGAGGATGATGACTTTGGAGATTTCACGTCCGCTCCCACGGGTGGCGGGTCAGTACCTACTCCGTTGGCAACGAAGAGGACATTCCTTTCACCGCCGCCTTCCAGAGGCCCGAGCTCCTCACCGCCACCTCCGCCTACTCCGCCGAAGCCAAAGTATATCCGACCTAGGAAGGTCTCCGATGCAGATCCCTTTGGTGACTTTGTCGCCTCCCCTAGCACTACTTCGCCCCCCAGACTCTCGTTCGGATCACCGCCTGGGGTGCCTAGCATTCCACTCAAGTCGCTCACTTCCATCCCAGCTCCCTCGCCATATCGACGGCATACGAAACCTGTGGAAATACCTCCAGTAGCAGTCCTACTGAGAGCATTCCCACCATTATTTTTACTACCACAGGATCAGCTACTGGACAAAATGAAAGGCCTATCATTCTCTCTCCGACAGCGAGTACTCTCACATCACAGGACAAAGAAATTTCTAGAAGGTATCTGCGAGGTCGGTAGAGTTGCGGGCAGGATCATTGCCGGTCGAAAACGACAGACAAAGAGCGCGCTTCCGGGAAAAGCTGGCGGCAGGATGAAGCTAGCCAATGGGGCGGATGCAGCTTGGCAACAGAAGAAGGAAGACAGGGAAGCGAAGGAGATATGCCGACTCTGGAAAGAAGAGTCTGGACGACTAAAGGCTGCGATGGGAACTAGTATTCCAGAGTTTGAGGATGAGCCTTTGAAGGGACCTGGAAGACGGGGGTGTAGACTTTGTGGGCTGGGGAAGGATGAGCTTCTGCCGGGATTGAAGGAGAAGACTGAGAGGCTTGGATGGTGGGATAGTGGGTGGGGCGGGCATGCGGGATGCAAAGGGTTCTGGGAAAAACATGGCAAAGTATTGGCCTCAGCGGGTGAGGACTTTATGGGACCGTCATAGTCGGATAGGCTTCTTTTTTGATCTGCAATATAAGATTGAGACGGGGCTGTTCTTTGCAGTACTTTTATTGTCAAGAGAACGTTGTGGCTTCTTTTTTCTTCCTTGTTAAAATTAGATTGTTCGAGTACAAAACGAGTAAGGTAGTTAATAATGTAGAATTCAAATCAACGCTTTGATCTCCGTAATACGGTATCGGTAGGAGCTATTGTACCTAGATCATTTCACCCAATCACCCAGAACACCCCCACAGAGCTATTATGTATTTTGACTACGCTGGGAGTGAAGGCTCAATGATATCCCTCCCAGTTCTGAAACATACGCACCACCCGCGTTCCCCTCAATCTTCTCGCCTGCGTTCCCAGACGAACCTCTCAACTCCACACAAAGGCAAGGTGGGGTGTTCAGACGGACGGCCCCTCCAAAATAAATAATAAAATATAAAATAATTCGAGATGCGGCCGCTACAAGAAACAAGGTACCACCTCCTCTCCTCTCCTCCCCCCACCCAACATTGCCTGCAATTGCTAAAACCCAAGCGGCGGCTGGGAACAATCAGGAAACTCTGGGAATCTCTCTTCAAAGGCCATTCCTCGATTAGCTCTTTACGTACCGCTACTACAGACTCTATATATAAAAATAATGGAAATAGCGGTAGCACCGAAGGTCCATGTGGGGTCGGGTTGAGGTCTGTTTGTTGGAAGGTAAATGATTTTTTCTCGACTGGGACATACACACTTGTCAGGAGGATGAGGGAAGGAAAACTAATTGTGGCACATAGTTGTTCTTGCTATTTCCGGGATTCAAGCCAGAAGCCTGGAGTAGGACTATACGCTACGAGCGTGCGGCATTCGAGGAGTTGAAAAAGGTACATGTATCACCGTTTGAGAAGGCGGCAGATTTCGGCGAGGGGATTGATCCGCTGGCGGAAGTTGCGGAGGTATTTCTCCCTCATCATTCCACAATTGGTAATCGCAATGAATGAGTAGGGCTAATGGATTCTGTAGAACCCCTGGGAGCAATTTCGAAAAGACGAATCGCTGCGGAAAGAGATACTCCAGGATATCGAACGATGCATGCCGGAGAATACGTACTTCCGCGACCCGACGATACAGAATTCCCTTCTAAATATTCTGTTCATATATTGTAAACTGAATGCGGACGTTAGCTATCGACAGGGCATGCATGAGATTGTGGCGATAATACTTTGGGTTGTTTCTTGCGATGCCATTTCCACAGCTGCCGGTACTGAGGGACAGGAGGAGGAAGGGAAGCCCGTCGCTGATGAGAACATCATGGTTGAATGTCTAGATCATCAATTTATCGAGCATGACACTTTCTCACTATTTCAAGTCGTCATGCGCTCGGCGAAAGCTTGGTACGAAATTGGTGAGGAAGCCCTAGATTCTGTTAAGGGGAGAGGAAGAAATGAGAATAGGAATAGCTCGCCGATCGTGGAGAAGAGTAAATACATTCATGAGCATTTGCTCATGGCGGTGGATCCAGAGTTGGCTGAGCACTTGAAGGCGTTGGATGTTCTGCCCCAGGTGTTTTTGATGTATGGATTTAGGGCTCCCCTCTATTACTCTGGTGGGCTATGTAAGTGGCTAATTGGCGTGCAGACGATGGATTCGATTACTGTTCGGTCGGGAGTTCCCCTTTGAAGAGCTTTTGGAAGTTTGGGATGCGCTGTTTGCTGAGGATCCGAATCTTCAGCTTGTAGATCATATCTGTGTTGCTATGCTTTTGCGGGTCCGGTGGCAATGTGAGTGCTTTCGAATGCGTTCGAATGCGTTCGATGGAGATGACTGATAGGGGTCTTTTTTTTTTAGTGATGGAGGCAGACTATTCTACTGCTCTTACGCTGGTACTACGGTACCCTTCGCCAACAGCACCTGATCTTCCGGCAACGTTTGTTGCTGATGCTATATACCTCCGAGATAATCCTACGTTTGCCGGGGGGAAGCACATTGTCGTCAAATACTCTAATCGTACACCTACCCCTCCTGCACAAAAGCAACGAGCCCCGAAGCTCTCACGGAAAAATAGCCCGTTAACACCACCTGCGAGGTTTCTTCAAACTGGCCAGTTGGAGAGTATTGTACAGGATGTTGCTAAGAATATGCTTAGTCAAGGCGAAAGATGGGGTGTTAATCGTGCAGTCAGAGACGCTGTAGGGGATATAAAAAAGAACGTTCAGGGCCTTCAGCAAAGCCAACATCAGCAATGGGCAGCCCAAGAATCGGCTAGAGAAGCTGAATTGGTAAGGAGGAGTCGGGAGCTAAGTAAGAAGCTCAAAGCAGACGACGATAGAAGAAAGAAACTAGAGAGGCTCCTCCAATTGAGCATCGAAGAGTTGGAAAAGAATGGTTTGACTACGGAACAGAAGAAAGTATCACTGGTAAGACTAAACCACGTTCGCGAGTGTCTATTAGATGGCACAAAAACAGTGGACTACACCGCCTCAGCAGCGCCTTTGCCAAAGATACTTCCTATCACAACCTCAGTTCCTACAACACCCCCTTCACCTGCCGCCAACCCCCCCCTCTCAGGACGCGCCCCCCCCTCATCCATATGTACCATACATACCCCCACCTCCACCGTCTCCCAACCGACCCAAAAACCAAAATCAGCCCCACCATCACCACCCGGTTCCACCCCTCCCCCAAAGCCGCAAAAAGTGCCTACATCCCCGCAGGGAAGCTTTGTCAAGACGTCTTTCAAAAGCAACTCCGACCCAGACTTCCTCACGCACCGACCTCGGGCGTCGCTGGCTCAGAGCAGCTTCGCTTGGATGCTCGGAGACGACCCTGCAGCGAAAACGAAAACGGCGTTCGTGTCTGCCTCTGCCCGAAAGTCTGGGAATGCCAATTCTAATCACGGAGGTGGCGGAGGTGGGGGAAGTGGCGGTGCAGCAGGGGCAGATGGTGTGGGAAATGGTGTTAGAGTTGACGCTACGTGGACTCCCGATGTGGATGAAGGATTTGATTTGGGGAGGCTGAGGAGGAAGAGGTAGTTTTTTCTCTTTATTTTCTTTTTGGTCTGTCTTGTGCAGGTAAACTTTGTAATATGGTGTGTTTTTTTTCTTCTCGTTTCTTTTCTTTTTCATTGATTGGACGTGCGTTTTTTATCCTTCTTTCTTATCTCCTCATTAACTTTTGCGAGTGAGTTTCGCAGCTGAACTACGTGCAGACTTATGGGTAGGAAAAGAATTGCTGAAAGACATACGGATGGGGAGGAAGGGGATGGACTATTGGTACTATAGGCATGATAAAACGATACACCATTGTATAGACGATACCAGCTACGTTATTTTCTTCATCTCTCGAGGCTTTCTGCCTATCAAGTTGATTTAGATACTGCCCTTTTCAATAAATAACACCACCCACACCCCTATCATACCTGGCGGTTTAACTAAGCCTCTGATGCCTGGTTAGCACTACAAACTGGGGTATCATAACATTTGGCAGCAAGTTGATTGGGCATGCATGAGCTATCACTCGCTTCGCGATGTCCCCATAGGCATGGAATTTGCTTGATATCGTCATCCAGTCTATAGTAAGTCGTGCAGAAGAGATGTTTACATATTACCGTAGTGCAATACCTCTAAGAGCTTTTATGTGTTTTATCCCACCCAGAGAGTCAAGCAAGACGCTCCTACAACTCGTTCCCATGTACTTTTCCATCTCCCATTTTACCTCGATTTACAACAGGGTTGAAAACACACTCCCGCCAGTCAGGCATTGCCCCGCACATGAACGTTTAATCCTTGGAACACTGATACCTCTCTGAGACCCCAAGGCCAACTCCCCACCCCAGCTTCAACTATCATACTTCCCGCTCCCTCCACTCCATCCACTCCATCCACTCCATCCACTCCGTCCACTCCCTCCACTATGGTACGATAGTCTAAGCTCTCTCCCTCCCTCTCTCTCTCTCTCGCACATGTGAAACCTCGGAATCACCACCACACGCAATGCACACAACGCATGCTGTTCATCTCTGGTCCACCTAGATTTTTTCACTCGCGCCATATATGGTGGGCAATGGGTATGGTATAGTATGGCTGGAAAGAGATCATCCCGAGATTTTCACAAACTAGCCATGGCACGGTGTAGGCCACCTCCCTGCAAGTTCGCAAGTGTCATAACCGCCAAGCATCCACACTATGCAACACGACTCATCCCCCGGAAATTTTTTGTTTCCGGAGATGGGGGGGTTAGACGGGAGTGGATGGGGTGGATGGAGTGGAGGGAGTGGATGGAGTGGAGGGAGTGGAGGGAGTGGAGGGAGTCTATCTATTTCTCTGTTTACTTGCTATTAGTGCTAGACTGGGGGCTAAGGTGATATTTTTATTGAATTGTTTATGTAGATAAAGTCAGTACTGGTACTTTCTCTTCTCAAAATTTAATTTAGTTTCTGCTTTTATCATTATTACTATTATTATCGTATTTTAGAAGAGGAGGTGCTTGCGGCTCTTTATTTAATTTAAGGTTGTTTGGTTAGATCCCTTGGCACGCGGCAGGTTGAACCAACCTCTTGAGTTTGGTTTGTAAACGTCCACCAGAGAGAGGAACGAGAACGACAAATATAGGTGACGATAAGTTACAGTATATTCGCGATTCGCTTGTTCGTCAAGTTGGCTGTGGTACTCTGTCAGCAGAATTCTAAGGTAACTTCCAAAACAAACATTTCTTCCTACTTTGACTTCTTCGATCTCTAACTTAACTCGCTCACCTCATCAGCGCCATCGACTGCAGCCTTACGATAAAATAAATAAATAAAGCTCAAGGACGAAGTACCCAATGGACTCCTTCCTCGGCTCGCCATTTGGGCAGATCTCCCCGCCCGATCCTCCCGCCCCCCCACCGCCCGGCCAGATGCAGCGCCCCGCAACACGTCCCCCTCCACCCGCAGACTCATGGTCCGCCCAGCAGTCGTCACTGGCACTGCGCTTCTACAGACTCGGTCTTCCCGGCGTGGCGGAACTGGTGCTGGGCGCGAGTAAACTGGATACCTCGGCGCTGATGAAGGACGCGGCGACGTTGGAGGGCGGGTATTCAGCTTCTGGCGAGGGAATAATTACTGGGGGAGAGAGGGATGGACAAGGAGTTATTGTTGCTGCGCACGGAAGCTCTGGTGCTGGGAGTGCTGCCGGCGCTGGAGGTAGTGGTGGTGTTGGCGGGGGGGTATCGACGCCGCCGGAGACTCCTAGTGTAAGTCCACCCCCCCCCCTCCTCTGTCTCACTGCCCATCAATGATGGGATTTGTGAAACTAAGGAAGAGTAGACAGCAGCCCGCACCCGACCCGAAAAGTCCGACCGCCTGATAGCCCACAAGGCCAAATCGATAATGGATCTCAAGCAAGCCGACTTCGACATCCAAGTCATCCTTGCACGCATCTCGGCGGTGGAGTACAACCCGCTGGACCCCGTGCTCGCCGAGGTGCCTGAGAGTGCGAAGCCGTACGCCGGCTTCCTCCTCGGGCTCGTGCGATGCTACAGTGAGACTGACAATGAGCACGAGAAGAAGACGCTCCAGTGTGTTGCCCTTTACCATTTGCACATCGTCTTTGATGGTCTCGTGAAGAATTTTAGGGGGAAGGATGCTAGGACTAAGGCTTCCGAAGTTTTGGTATGTCCCTTCTTCTGACAGGGTCGGGGCGTGGGTTGGGGAAGGAAGCTAATTGGGAGGGTGAGGGAGCACAGTGCCACGTAATGACAGACATGCCCATGGCCAAGTCTGCGAATTCTTTCGTTACCCTTGCTACCGCTAGTCGCTGGCTGAGGGAGTTGTGTGACTACATGGGCGGTGCGAGGTTCGCACAGCATTTACTATATGTTAGGGGGGATTTCACAATCACTAAGTATTCCCCCCCTCCCACTCTATCTTGGATATGGCGTTTCTGACTTCGGAAGCTTCAAACAAATGATGACGTCCGCCGAGCGTTTGCGAATAATCAAGGAGGCGCTCGCGGACGCGAGGGATTACTATAGGGCGCAGTTGGATGAGTTGTATGGTACGTTCATACCACAGTATGTTCCAACGTTTTATAGTGATGCTTTGGCTGGGCGGTGAGGGTAGTTCTAGATGGCTTGATATATATCCTGCTAGCGATTTCTTTTCCTTGCTTCCTTTTTTTTTATCCTTCCTTTTTTGTGTATAAAGTTGATCGGTTCGGATGGGGGATTGAAGGGTTGACTCGCTGCGGGGATTGGGTAGTAGATGTATACTAACTTACGTCTAATGGAGTTATTCATTTTTCTCCCCCTTCTGCCTTTCCTGCTCTTTTATGCTTTCCTCCACCTGACTTGGGAGGCTGGGTGGGACGAAGAGACTGGAAAATCTAGGATTGTTTGCGCGCGTTAGCCACGGGTAGGAGCTGAGGGGATGATGGTGCGTATGAGGGCATACGTGCACTATATACAAAGCTTCTTGCGGTTGACTTGCCTATCCACAGTATGAGCACGAGTGAGCGAGGCGAGTTGAAGTCTGAGGCTTTATATATGCATCAGCACCAGAACAGCGGTGTCACGTTCTGGTATCTACAACAGAGAGTGTAGCATAGCGTATTTTCTAACAGCAATTGAGCACCGATACCAAAACCTACTTCCAAACAACCACTCCCGACTCAATGCCTCAAAGGCGTCATGACTAAAACTTGCTATCGCAAGATACTCTAACTGGGGCTATCAGTGCCGGTTTTTCTTTCCTGACGTTTGATTTACTCTTTAGTACCTATAGTTGGGTTGGAGAGTAGGGGAGGGAAGATGTCTGGTCCTATATGATGTGTGAAGTTAGTTTGGTAGTTGGGGAGCACCGGTGTGGTGAGCTCTTTACCAGCGTAGAGTCTGCACCGATGGGACACACGCAAATGGCGTGCGTGCGTGTGCGGATGCGGTGCGGGGTGGTGGATTGAAGTGCGGTGGTGCCCGGGCCCGAATGGGGGTGGATCGAGATGCGAGTTGATCGACGCACTCAACAGCGAGCCACAGTACTGTTCATTTTCTGCCTTGGAGACGCTTGCAGTGCATGTGGCAGCTGCCTAGCCCTCCACCGCACTATCTGGCAAGGTTCGCCTGCCGCTGGCACGTTGAGATAAAGTGGGAGTCGAATCAAAGGGTCCAATGCAGTCAAAAAGGGTTTAGATTAGGCATATTTTTCGCAATGAGGGGCTTAGTGAAGGCGTTTTGTTGCGGACTTGGAGAGGACATCATTGACGGACTAGCTAGCGGGCAAGCAAACCCCGCCAGGTAATTTAATGCGGTGTCCACCCATCCGAGAGGTTGAATTTGCATCTTTGTAGTACCTAGTCCAGGCTGGAAGGGATACCGGTATGCAGCACTTTACTCGAAATGCCCATGGCTGTACGGAGTAGGCTGTGAGACAGGTAGGCGGTCAGCCAGCATGCTTAGTGGAGTACAGCCTGGGCGGGAGTTATCAATACCACCAGTGTTGCTAGAGGTTGTCACTCACATCAAGAGCCCCATCAACCCCCTGATGAATGCCGGGATTCTTAGACTCGGTCCTTTCAGGAGGTCATATAGTGACCGGTTCTCACGTATCTTGAAATCGCTCTTGCTGGAATTGCGCTTAAGGAGGATGGCTGCGAAATCATATCCAAAATGAAGGGATAGGGGTATGTGATGTAAGTGGAAATTTAGGACCCTCAATTCTGGGTCCGATTTCATGGTTTTTACCCCCCAATTGGGTGGGAACCAAGGACCGGGTACGGTAGGATACCGGTAGTCAAGCTTCGCCATTAACTTGCGTTAACACCACCTAGGTCACTCTGAGTAGACCCGTCGATGTGTTTCCGCCGTGGCACTTGTACCATACTCAATCCGTTTATAGACAGAAGAAAGGTGGTCAACTGGGCCTTTTCAATTTTTTTTTTCCCGGTGGTGTCGGTGGTGTGCCGCACTGTACTGCAGCCTTTTAACTTACTCGAGTATCGGTATTGAAAACTTCAAGCACCTTAACAGCTGGAATCCCGCCAGGACGTTGGAGTTACCTCTTCTGGTAAGGTCTGCTGTATTTCTTCCCTTTCACCTGTCTCAACTGAGGGCTGAAAGATGTCGAGCAAATTTAAAAAGAATCTTCACGCGTTGGTTTTTTTTTTGCCTTGATCCCAAGGGGGAAATTCTGGACGTCCAGGCTTAGTTCTCAATTATTTCAATTTTTACGGTATGCCAGCACGGGAAGATGGGAGGGAAGTGCCCATATCCGAGCAGGGAGGTTAAGGTTTGGGATGTGACTGGTCGTGGTTTTCGGAGTCATACTGAACACCGGCGGTGGCCAGTGCTCTTCTTGTCTCTCTCACTCTGCTCTGGCATCGTAGACTATTCTCGGTGGGTATTGTGGGAACGGATATTGGTGTGATACGGGGAGAGGGAGATACGCGGCGGAGCGCGTGCGGTATGGTATCGAAGGATAGAGTATCCTACTTTGATCCACCCGTCCCGAGGGGGAAGGAGGGATATTTACGGTTTCGTCTCATGGTTTGCTCACTGCGGGGCCATACAGTTTGTAGGGGAAAGTCTAAAAAAATTTTATGCCAACCTGGATTGCAACTTTGAAAGTTTGTAGTGAGTTTTCTCTTTTCTATTTACTGCATTTTGATGTTTGTGGACACGTTGATAATGTGTCGTGGTCTGTATCGACATATCATACCGGTGTGTTCTATTGTATCATTGATAGCGCATAGGAAGTTGAAGAAATGAATTTTTTTTTTTCCCTTTCTCCCTCTCGACATCAGTGCATCAAAGTGGCGCTACCCCTCTTTGCTCCTCCCAGAATTACCCCTCCAAACACAGGACGTTGGAAAAAAAAATAAAAAAAATCCCCAGTAACTTCCAAAAACGGGTTAGATAGCCCTGTAAGTGCGGCTAGAAATTACAGCCCAGTCAAATCTGCGCGACGCAAATTCCAGAGTGGGTTGTGTTATTATTATTGTCATTATTATTAGTATGATATTACCGGTATGGGAGGGTTGAGAAAAATTGGTATGATACGATGAAAAGGAAAGAAGAGAGGAAAAATAAGTTAGCCCTGCTCCAAAACAATCCGTTTAAGGGCCTCCATCTACACACAGTGCCTCCCAGTCACAAAATGCCAAGACCCACCACCACCACGAGGTGGGGATGGCAAGAAAATTTACCCCTCTCCTTTAAAGACCATCCTCCCACTTACCACCACCCGTTCCTTTCTCCTTCCCTTTCCTCCTTTCCTCCTCTCCTTGTCACTGTGAGTCCCCCCCTTCCCCACCACAACTTTCCCTCCTCCTTCTGCTCCCCACGCTCACGTTCTTCTTGCTAATTATTGTGAAAAGCATACCGAACAAAGTCTACGTTCTTCTGAGTAATTCAAACCTTTACATCTTTTTTTTTCCTTCGACACATCCACATTTCCATACACAATGGGGTAAGCTTGAATCCATTTCTTTGTTCTATTTTTCACCGTCTCCCTCATCTTCCTTAGCTCCTACTCGATACGGGGAGGGTTTCGCGGGAGTGACTGCCGCTGACATCCCTTCTCTCATACAGTAAAGAAAAGACCCACGTTAACGTTGTCGTTATCGGCCACGTCGATTCTGGAAAGTCCACCACTACTGGCCACTTGATCTATAAGGTATGTGAAAATTTTATTTCGTCTCAATTGGTTCAAGCAAATACCTGACCATTGTAATCTATATATCTAGTGCGGTGGTATCGACAAGCGTACCATCGAGAAGTTCGAGAAGGAAGCCGCCGAACTCGGAAAGGGTTCCTTCAAGTATGCCTGGGTTTTGGACAAATTGAAGGCTGAGCGTGAGCGTGGTATCACCATCGACATTGCCCTTTGGAAGTTCGAGACTCCCAAGTACTACGTTACCGTCATTGGTGAATATACCCCGCATCTTATTCCTTACCCACTTGCTTTAGTTTAAATTGAAATTTTCTTCGGACGAGATGCTAATATTTTTCATCCCCGGTTAGATGCCCCCGGACATCGTGACTTTATCAAGAACATGATTACTGGTACCTCCCAGGCCGATTGCGCCATCCTTATCATCGCTGCCGGCACTGGTGAGTTCGAGGCTGGTATTTCCAAGGATGGCCAGACCCGTGAACACGCCCTTCTCGCATACACCCTTGGTGTCAAGCAACTTATCGTTGCTATCAACAAGATGGACACTACCAAGTGGTCGGAGGACCGCTTTAAGGAAATCGTCAAGGAAACCTCCAACTTTATCAAGAAGGTCGGATTCAACCCCAAGTCGGTTGCCTTCGTCCCTATCTCTGGTTTCAACGGTTTGCCCCCCAGTTTACATATTGGCTTGTATAATTGCTAATGGAATCTAGGCGACAACATGATCGATGCTTCTTCCAACTGCCCCTGGTACAAGGGATGGGACAAGGAGACCAAGGCCGGGAAGTCCTCTGGAAAGACCCTTCTTGACGCCATTGATGCCATCGAGCCCCCAAGTCGTCCTTCCGATAAACCTCTTCGTCTCCCTCTCCAGGACGTCTACAAGATTGGTGGTATTGGAACCGTCCCTGTCGGGCGTGTCGAGACTGGTATTATTAAGCCCGGTATGGTCGTTACCTTTGCCCCGGCTGGTGTGACCACCGAAGTCAAATCTGTGGAAATGCACCACGAGCAGCTTACTCAGGGTCTCCCCGGCGATAATGTTGGCTTCAACGTCAAGAACGTTTCTGTAAAGGAAATTAGACGTGAGAGATCTTGTCTTACATTTGCTTGATATTAGCTAATATTGATTAGGTGGAAACGTTGCCGGTGACTCCAAGAACGACCCTCCCAAGGGTGCCGAGTCTTTCAACGCCCAGGTCATTCTCATGAACCACCCCGGCCAGGTCGGAAACGGATACGCCCCAGTTCTTGACTGCCACACCGCTCATATTGCCTGCAAGTTCGCTGAGCTCATTGAGAAGATCGACCGTCGTACTGGTAAATCTGTTGAAAACTCGCCAAAGTTCATCAAATCTGGTGATGCTGCCATCGTAAAGATGATTCCTTCCAAGCCTATGTGTGTTGAGGCTTTCACCGAGTACCCTCCTCTTGGGCGTTTCGCCGTCCGTGACATGAGACAGACCGTGGCCGTCGGTGTCATCAAGTCTGTCGTCAAGATCGACAAGGCCGGAAAAGTCACTAAGGCCGCACAGAAGGCTGGTGCCAAGTGAGTACCTCTTTGGTTCTTTTCATGATTGATAGGTTTTACTGACATTATCGTTTTAGGAAATAAATGGTTAAGGGGAGTGTGCTGGTATGGTTTGTAGTTCTTGCGAGTTCTAGATACTGTCCTGTTCACTTGGGCGTTTAAAAAATAAAAAATGTTCTCATGTGGGTCTTTTTGTATGAAATGAGATACGAAATTAAGTTCCTTTTTTCCTTTCTTTATGGTTTTCCCAGCAGGTACTTTTGTAGACGGTTTCGTGAAATTTCTTTTGTTGACTCGCACTGTCAGTACGTGTGGAGAAGAAAACTACTGCCTCATTTCTATGATGCTTTCCTGAGGGGTACCTCGTGGTATGATGTGTATGATGTGTGCGCATACTATCCCAGAGCTGAGTGCGGAATTTGTAGCCAAGAGTATCACATTGACAGTTGACTATCATGATGCCAGTCAGAGATTGACTTATGATGGAGTAAACCGTTGGAGGGCTCAGCGAGGCGGCACCCTCAGCGAGGCATGGCAAGTCTTGGCAGCAACGGGACTCTATATTTTATTTCACATATTCGTAAGTCAACATATTTTTCCTTTCTCCTTTCCTTCTCTCACAAACACAAAACATTTATAAAACAAATGAGAGCAACTGCCTCTAAAGCGTCTGCCAACCCTGGAGGCACCAACACAAAACCGAGCGACAGGATCAGCATTTTCCCTGGGAGCAGGGGCTATACCAACTCCTGCCCCCCATAGTTGAGAAATTATTTGACCTCCTGCCCAATCCCGGGTCCATCCTCCTCCCCATAGTTGAGAGATTGTTCAATCTCCTGTCCAATCCCGGGCTTGTTATCCTCTCCCCAGATATCCTCGAAATCTCCTTCATCAAATTGATCACTACCTCTTTCCTCTGGAGTTGCAATCAACATACCAGTCTCAGATCCGTTCTGTACTATGTCCTCCAAATGCTTTTTCAATCTCTGTACTGTTCGTTTAGCTTTCAAGATCTATTCAGTAAGCTTCTCTTCCTCTTGCAGTAGTACAGCTCCTGTCTTACAATGCTTAAGTAATCTTTCTTCTTGTTGTAGTCTTTCCACATCCTTTCTTTTTCTTATACATTCTGCTAACTTTTACCTCCTCATCTTAACTAGATTAGTCGCATTCTGGTATATCTGCTGTGTACATTCATGAACTTTAACTGCTTATGATTCAAAATATTTTGCAATGTTTTCCTTACCAATCCAAATCTTTCCTGAAGTTGGTATTCGGGTTCACTTTGCAGTTTTCTGCTTCTGAATATCTGCTAACTGCTTTTAAAAGTTCTCAATACAACAATCCCTTTTATCAACTTCGGTAAGTGACAAATTTTCAGTAATTGTTAAATTTCTAACTATCTTCTTTAGTTCCCATTCATGTAGGTCATTTCTTAGTAGTGTTACAAGTATAATAAGTTCTTGCTGTTCAATTTCTGTTTTATTTCGGGGTATTTGTATCCCATTGATCTCCTGGTTTGAAAAGTTACTTAGTGGTTCAAGACTGACTACTGGAGAATACAATTCATGGTGTTGGGAATTAGTAGAATTTAGAGTTTAAGGATATGATTAAAGTCCTCCAGCTGGAACTTTTACCAGAATAATATCTCAGTTAATTGGTACCAGTCCTGTATTACGGAGTCCACTCTGTATATTGTTGTAATTAAAGGATGCTCAACATGCAATCATGAAATTTTCATAGAAATTCTCCTTTAAGACACCATACTCATGTCACTCAAATTAAGATATTAGTTCCATTTAGTAATGATGTTTGTAAGAACAAGATATAGATATATCGAGTGGCTGTAAATAGTGTATTATATATGGAGGCAAGCAGTACAGAATAATCTTCTGTGAAACACGGAATTCTAAAAACTGAAGATTCACATGACCTCTGTGACAATTGAATAGGAGAAGTGGAAACTCATCAACTACCTTTAATGTAGACAAACTACTCGAATCAAAGTTTCTCTGTAAGTACTCTTGTACTATCTTTTCATCGGTCGATCCATTTTGTGACCGACTGAAGAGAATATTTTCAAACACACCTTTAACTCCTCTAAACCATTCAGATACAAACTCCTCAGCCTTCAATGTGATTGTTGGATTTAGTGCTGTTCTATTAGTAAAGATACCTTCAATTACACTTAAAAATTCTTATATGCTATCTATTTTATTATAAGTATTCAGTTGTAAAATTATAATATTTGAAATAAAATAAAAAATATACTTTAGACATGATACTTCACTTGCCCACTTTCTCTAAGTTCTTGAATTACTTCTAAAACTCATTCTGATTAACCAAGTCTAAGTAAAAATCCAACCTCATCTATATTATATATATTCTGAGATTTTAATTCATACTCATAGAAAATCATTTTTAACTATATAAAAACATCATAAATATTTACTTATATTAGGAATACCAAGATCCAATACCTACGAATCACCTTAAGTAGGATAATCCCACTCAGAATCAGAAACCCTAGATTCTAATACCCCTGTTCGGTGCCCTTACGGGGCCGGCACATCATCATACATATCAATTTCAATTGTGTCTTGTGACTATAATGACACAGGATTGAAGGTGACAGAATAATACCATATACATCACCACCGTCAATCCAACAGGATCCTGTTCACAGTATATATGGGAGAGGACCTTCTGCAAGGTCAGGGAAGTAGAACGGAGCAAATCCATCCGCTACTCAGAGAGTTACCAGGCTTGAAACATGTAACATCTTTAGCAGGAGCTGTAAGCAAAAGGATGATGTCACATGAAGAGATGTTATCGAATGATAAAGAATCTCAACGAGAGACTAATACGTTCACATCCACCCTACAATAACCAGAAGAGTCTAGAATTCTAAGAGACACTACTACAGAAGCTAATAGACTTCACAGAGAGTTACAACTCGGTTTTGGAATATGTTATAACTACAGGTATGACTTCTAATACTATAACAGCAATTGAAATCATGTTACCCAGAGCAACCAAGGGTTGCCGACCAAGGGATTATTTGTCAATCCGGTGGAATAGCTTCCTGTGAATTAGTAGGAAATCCTCCAGAAGATATTTATTGATTGAGTAAAGAGTTATGAGAATTTGAAATCTAGTGACCTAGAAAGATTGCAATTATGACTACCCTCGCAGATACAACCCACAGATAAAACTGATCATTTTATCAATAAAGCTAATCATTTCATCCATGAGGGCGACAATTGGGGCCAACTCAGTTCAACTTGAGAACTAGGCCATCAGTCTAAAGACTCTAATGATTGGATAATTACTATAGAAAACAGTACGGCTCTTAGTTAGTCATATCATAATTGCCGAAGAGGGTGTAGTGATTTTCAGGATTTCCAGGTGTTTATACCTTTTAAGAATATCTGATGTTAAAGGTTATAATCAGAGAGGTACATAGTTGTATAATAAATAGATGTAGTCCACAAATACTCAGATGTGTAATATAAATATCGAAGTGCCTGCCAAGCTTTAGACATCATCAAGCAATGGAGAAGAGACCTTAACAATATAATATTGTCTTTAGGATTCAATTCTACTTTACCTACTTTACTTTACTCTCAGTAGTCATAAACGAAACTAGCGATGCCCGAGCCTTCCTAGAAAATTTCTGTTTACAGAAACGAATTTTAGTTGACCTAGACAACTCTGAAGTTTATCAGGTTGTCTCCACCTAACAGTTTAAAATAATTGTAAAAAAAATAAGAATATAAGACAAGAATAATAAAAAAATAAAAATAAAAAACTAATAAAATAAAAATACCTCATGAATTAGTTATTATTTCCTCAAATATTGCAACATACAAATTTAACTGTTTTCTGAATTATGAACTTGATATCTCGATATATTTTTTTAAAACTGATTTCTCATTTTTTACCAACAACTTTACTAGAACTTGGCTTTTATAAAACTGAGTTGGCAATTCCATGTAACTGCTATATCGTTGAGGAAAATCCAAGATGGTACTGAAAGTAACACCATTACCGCATGTTTCTGTCACAAAAGTGGCTTGGCATGGAAAAGGTTTTCACATGACGTATAATTATGAGTTATGGGAGGTGCTCCTGGCAAGTATGCCTTGTGGGTATGTCTTGCACATATGATTTATGTTTAGCACATGACCTCATTATGAGGTCATGGGTTTCATGCATGTGACTCATTCGAGTCATTTGACTTGTTTATTATGTTATAATTAGGGTATGAGTTTTTGCACATGACCTCACTACGTGTAACCGGTACGGGTACTCGGTTATTAGTTTTGTTTTATGTTTTATTTTAAGTATTTCTTTGATACTTGGTTTGTTTGAAGTATAGTTTGATTCTTAGTTTTGTTTTGTATTATGTTTTAAGTATCGCTTTGATACTTGGTTTGTTTTAAGTATTGTTTGATACTTAGTTTTGTTTTAAGTATTGTTTTAAGTATTATTTTGATACTTAGTTTTGTTTTATGTATTGTTTTAAGTATCATTTTGATACTTAGTTTGTTTTACCAAAGAGTATCGCTTGATACCTTTGATTAGCTTCGTTTATACTAGACATGAACAAGATTTATGTATTTAAAGACCGCCTGATCCTGCCATGGAAAAAGCAGACTTCGACAGACAGTATTTCAATATACTTGCTTGAATAGTTACTTCTTTGTTTCTCAGTACACCCTTGAAGCCTCCTTTTGTTCTCAGCTCTCGACTCCTCTTTGGAAGAGCAGGCTACCTGCCAACTATCGTATCTATTACTGATAACATGATTAGCACCTAGCGAACACGTTACATTTTTTTAACCTCAGCAAGTAGTCAAGAACCTGTCCCCGGATTTAGGCCTGATCAACCTATCGATACCCACCTTAGAACGCTAGCAGAGAGAAGTGGCAGAATCGCGGCACATTCGGCTTCGTCTTAAAACCAACATAGAGTCATTGATGACTAGGAGTGGGAAGCAAATCCCACGACAAGATCTTACAAGAAAGAAACAACTTCGGCGCTCTGCTAAGGAGCCAGGAGAACCTGCAAACATGGAAGACACACAACCTCAAGGAGAATTTTCTTCTAATTCAGTAAAGAAGCCTTTCTTCGAACCTCCAATTAACCCTGAATTAGTAGCGAATCAGACATGGCTAGTACAGGAGGAAGGCCCTCTGGAGGAGGAAAATCTCGGGCTCGTCCTGAAGAAAAGGAACTA